AGAGAGAGAGAGAGAGACAGAGAAAGAGAGAGAGAGAGAGAGAGAGAGAGAGAGCATCACCTTATCATTGTCACCACTGTCACATAATTTACATTGTCACGTCATTTACATTGTAATGTCTTTGTCACGTCATCTAAAATGTCACATATTTTAAATGTCATTGTCACATGTCAAGTCATTGTCACGCCATTGTCATGTCAAGTGCATTTATCTATGGTAGATAAAAGACAAAGAAGAAAAAGAAGGAGAAAGATAAAGAAGTAGAATAGTTAGAAGAAAAAAAGAAGTGGTTATAGAAGTAGAAATAGTTAGAGAGAAAAAGATGGAAGAAGAAGAAGAAGAAGAAGAAAGAAGAAGAAGCAGAAGAAGAAGAAGAAGAAGAAGAAGAAGAAGAAGAAGAGGAAAAGGTAGTAGAAGAAGAAGAAGAAGACGAAAATGAAAAAAGAAGAAATAGAAAACATAGATAAAATAACACAGAACAAATAATAGTAATAACTAGAACAGCATGTCAGTCATTATCACCACGATTCTCACCTGCATACGTCGCCAGGTAGTTCAGCACGAAGCCCTTGCCGAGTCCGTCGTTCTTGGAGACGAACAGCACGGCGATCTGTCGCGTCGTCGTCACAAACAACTTCGTCTTCTCGCGACCCGTATAATGTCGCAGCACCTGCCCCGTGTACGACTTCAACTCGACAAAGTCTTCGAGTCCGAGGTTGAGTTTGAGGAACTCTAGTTTGATGCGGGGCGCCTGCTGGCTCACAGTGATGTTCCAATAGCAGACGAGTCCGCGCTTGTATCCTATCGGGTAGTCCGGACTGACGATGTCGCCACGGTCGCTCTCGATGCCGCCGCCGCATATCGCGCTGCTAGGCGGCAGCACCGTAGTGGGCGCGGTCGGAGGCGGCGGCGGCGTGGACGGCGTTGTCGCGGTGACGGGTTGCCGCGGCGACGGAGACGCGTCCGTCGTCTGCTTCATGATGATGCTGCGGTCGGTGTGCGTCTGGTAGCGCGGTGCCACCGTGCTCGGTGACCTCGCCGTGACCCTGACAGATGGCGCCGTCGTCGCGAAGGTCACACGCGGCTTGCGGGTCGTGCGCGTCGTCGACGGAATCTTCCGGCTTATCCCGCCGAAGCCGAAACCGTTCGGGTTGTATCCCGGAAGCTCGCGGAAGCGGGATCGGTTCTTCTCGGTCGTCGTGGCAGCAGGCGACGCGCCGGTTGTCTCCACCGTGGTGCCATCTACCGGCGCAACTGGGAAACAAAGTCGAGTCAGCGTTAGACGGTATTCATTATTCCTCGCGATTACTAGCGACAACAAATAAAAAATTTAATAAAAATATATATTAAAATATATATATAATATATAAATATATAATAATATATACATAATATATCTAAATTAGATGGCGAGCGGAGAAGGTGTGTGGTCACCTATCCCAGGACCTGTACGTGTTACATCATGTACTGTCAGATGCTGCCCCCGATAATCCACGTGCGAATCATCCCCCATATTCTATGACTTATTACTCAGTTATATCCTTGTTATAAACGTGAACAAATCTAAACATAAATCGTTAATATTTATTTACATGGCTTTGGATCAGGCACGTTTGATGCGTCACCTATTATACCCGATACTCCCCGATACTCGCTGCACTAGTTGACGTTAGTTTACCCAAGTTTCCTGCACTGATTTTTTTTGCAATCCAACTTTGCTTGCAATTCCGGTTCAATTCAACGATAGCAAAACTGGATAACGTGCCCAAACCTTGTTATTTTCACACCCACGAGTGAGGATTTTAACAGCGAGTCACGGGCGTGGCCCCTCGATGACAAAGGATCAGGATTTTGCTGATGCATAAGCGGATCCTTGGCTGGATGAGCGGAGAGAAGGAGGGGAGTTAACGTGCTCTCAAGCACACACCGCAGGCAGGTAGACAGGTGGGCAAGCAGGCAGGTGGGCCATGCAGCTAACGCGGGCGTGGCCACGTACTGTATCGTCACTGACTTACCTAAGGGGAAGGTTAACCAGTGGGCGTGTGTGTGTGCGTGCGCGTGTGTGTGTGTTCGTGTGTGTGTGCGTGCGTGCGTGCGTGCGTGCGTTGCGTGCGTGGCGTGCGTGAGTGCGCGCGTGCGTCACGTGTTGGCTTGTGGTCATGTGTGTCTGTCTGTGTGTAGTGCGTGCGTGCGTGCGTGCGTGGGCGTGCGCGTGGCGTGGCGTGGGCGTGCGTGCGTGCGTGCGTAGCTTGTAAGTTGTTGGTGTGTGTGTGTGTGTGTGTGTGTCTGTGTGTGTGCGTGGCGTACGTGGTGTGTGTGTGCTACGTGTGCGTGTGTGTGTGTGCGTGGCGCGTGGCGTGCGTGCTGGTGGTGCCGTGTGCTGCTAGGTACGTTGCGTGCGGTGTTGTGTGTTGTGTGTGGGCTGTGCTGTACGTGCGTGCGTGTGGCGTGTGTTGCCGCGTGTTGTGTGTGTGTGGCGTGCGTGTGTGTGCGTACGTGTGCGTGTTGTTGTGTGTGCGTGCGTGCGTGTGTGTACGTGCGTGTGTGTGTACGCTTTGCGTGCGTGTGTTGTGCTTGTGTGTGCTGGTGTGTGGTGTACAGTGTGTGTGTGCGCGTGTGTGTGCGATGCGTGCGTGTGCGTGCGTGCGTGCGTGCGTGTGTGTGTATGTGTGTGTACGTGCGTGCGTGTGTGGCTGTATGTGTGTGTGCGTGCGTGCGTGCGTGTGCTGTGTGTGTGTGTTGTGTGTTTGTGTGCCGTGTGTGCCGTGTGTGTGTGTGTGTGCTGTGTGTGTGTGTGTGTTGTGTGTGTGTGTGCAGTGTGTGTGTGTGTGTGTGGCGTGGTGTGTGTGTATCGTGGTGTGTGGTATGGTATGTGTGTGGTGGTGGTGGTGGTGTATGTTGTGTGTATGTGCGTGGGTGTGGGTGGTGTGTTGTGGTGTACGTGCGTGCGTGTGTGTGGTGGTGTGTGTGTGTGTGTGCGTGTGTGCGTGGTTGTGTGTGCGTCGTGTGTGTCGTGTCGTGTTGCCGTGCGTTGCGTGTGCGTGCGTGCGTGGCGTGTGTGTGTGTGTGTGTGTGTGTGTGGTGTGTGTGTCGTGTTGTGTAGCGTGGCGTGCGTGGTGTGTGTGTGTATGTGTGTGTGCGTTGCGTGCGTGTGTGTGTGTGTGTGTGTGTGTGTGTGTTTTGTGTGTATGTGTGTGTGTGTGTGTGTGTGTTGTGTTTGTGTGCCTGTGTGTGTGCATGCGTGTGCGTGCGTGGTGTGTGTGCGTGGCCGTGTGTGTGTGTGTGTGCGTGCGGTGTGTGTGTGTGTGCGTGTGTGCCGTGCGTGCGTGCGTGTGTGCGTGTGCGCGCGTGTGTGCGTGTGTGTGTGCAGAGATCCCCATGCCAGCGAATGATCCGAGTTTTATGAACAACACTGAGACGCGTTCATTTATATTCACTCAGAGCCGACACGCGGCTCAGTGGACGTGTTACCAGCGGAGAGACCTTAGAGAGCATATAGGACATAAGAGGGTGCCAAGCAGACAGCCTGTAGAGAGGCGGGAGACGAGCAAACAAACCATGAGGGAGAGTGGGCAGAGAGGGAGAATGGGAGGAGGGCGGCTAGGTAGGAGTACAAACGCCCCTGTGCAATCCTCAATAATATCATATATATATATATATATCTATATATATATATATATCATATTTATCGCAGGCTTCCTATACGCATCTATCGACAACACGGTATAAATCTCTCCACGATATAATATATCAACCAAGACACGTGTAGGTAATAACTGCACCGCACAGCCCTGAGGCTTACTATAGAACCGCCACACCTCAAACCCTACATGGTCGTAACGCTAGAACCAGCGAGGTTAGATCAGCTATGCGGGTACAACATAATGGCAGGCGTATACCGAGGTAATTATTACAAGTTGAGAGGCACTTCAACGCCATCACACGCACGGTCTAGTATGCTGTTCTCACTCTTCAGAACCACAGTTTAAAACAAGCACTTTCGATGACTACTTCGGCGAGAAGATGAAAAAATGTCGCTGCGTTGTATATAACAAAGAACGATGACGAGCGGAACCATTGTGACGTCACGGTTCATCACAGACGAGAGATGCCAATATTTCGCGGGTGAGAGGGTCTCGCAATTATTTCTATTGTTGTTAACAGTGGCTAGTAAGACGATCAGAGAGAGAGAGAGNAGAGAGAGAGAGAGAGAGAGAGAGAGAGAGAGAGAGAGAGAGCGCGCGCACGAGAAAGAGATAGAGAGAGAGGGGGGCCACCTGCTGTGTATGTGTGTGTATACAAGGAGCGTGGTGGGTATCCCTTCATGTGACCCCGTTACCTGCTAATCCAGAATCTTCAACTACCGTTATCATGCTAGCCTCGTTTCGCTATAAATCCACGCGGGCGGTGCTGTCTCTCTCTCTCTCTCTCTCTCTCTCTCTCTCTCTCTCTCTCNTAGCCCAACAGAGACTGCGTAAACCTCAGTATTCTCGCCTATCGAAAGTGACATTTTAAATTCGTTGAAACACGATGAAATACTCTCTGAATTTGCAAGCATGAAAGTGCAGAAAAAATTCAGACTATAGGGCCCCCACACAATTGCGTGCCCGGGGCCTCCCACACGCTTAGTCCGGCCCTGATAATTAGACTCTCATATTGCATAAGGTAGGCAATTTACTCGGATTGTGAGATAAATTCAAAATGCGCTTGTTAACTCTTGCTAACATTCAATTAATATTATGTTAAATATATTAAATAGAAGTTAGATTTCAATTCAATCACACACGTGCAAAACCCTAATGATTCCACTGGTTCGGCGGTCATGCTTTACATTAAACACGGACCATTATCATACATCTGACTCACTACTTAATTAAATATATTATAATAATGATGCCACATCATCACCTACTACGTATTGCCATATAAACGTTGAACATGAAACGACACCCATCTGCCGACCATGTGTATAACATAATACACATTTACCTTACCCCACGAAAGAAGATGGCTTCTAGCCATCGACCTTCAGCCTGCCGGCTGATGTCAAAACCACGCATGCGCACATAATCACGTTAACACCATACCAGTTTCTTTGCAGGTGTGAATGTGAAACTTTTTAATCAATAAAACCCCGTCTGGTGCTAACTCCGTCTGTCTGTGTACTAGCTTCCAACATGGCGGAGATGAGAGTTGGTGTACATTGTAAGATTCGATCTGTTTCACTGATGATGTTTTTACTTTCGGCTCCGTTGCATGCTCGCGCCACAACTCCATGGGTTTTATATCAATTCGACTATAGCTGCTACATATGCTCGATGACACAATTGTAAACAACGATGTAGGATTCGAACCACGTAACCTGCATACTCCCTCACCTTCTCATTGCTAGAAACTAACGATAACCTCTCTTGCAACAAGATTTCATTAAATGTTCACATTTTCTCACGAAAGCATGGATGATGAATATAGGCTTAGCAAATAAATAAATAAATAAACAAACAAATGAATATATATATATATATATATATATGTATATATATATATATATATATATATATATGTGTGTTGATTCACATGAAGAGGAATAATTTGTGTCCATATTGCATAAGGGAGACAATTTACCCGGATTGTTAGATAAATTTAATATGCAATGATGTGATATAAAAATTAGCTTAATAATTATTTTTAACACTTGCTAACATTCAATTAATATTGTGTATGTTAAATATATTAAATAGCAGCTCGATTTCAAGTCAATCACAAACGTGCAAAATCCTAATGATTCTATACTGGTTCGGCGCTCATGCTTTACAGTAAACACGGATCATTACCATCCATCTGACTCACCACTTAAATATATTATACGCGTTAACGGCAATGAATAGGTTCATAATATTGCCAACATAGTTTCAGTATAAAATATTTATATCATATGAACATGGTACCTTGACAACCTTTGTAACGGGTGTAGGACCGCTGGTTGCTGAAATTGCACCGCCGTCTCTCTCTTTCTCTCTCTCTCTCTCTCTCTCTCTCTTCTCTCTCTCTCCTCTATATTTATATATATATATATATATAATATAATATATACATGTTAACATATACCCTAACCCTAACGCAAAACGTATTATATACGCTCACGAGAACAAACAAACCATTGAAGCCAGAGAATATTGATGCTGAATTTAAAAGGCTCTATGGCAACCTTTGTCATGAAATAAAATGCTATTGGCAGCAGTTGAAAATTTTTCCGTTTACCGGCTGTTGCTTCCTGAATGGACAGCAGCACAGTGTAGGGCCGCTGGTTGCTGAAATTGCACCGCCGTCTCTCTTTCTCTCTCCTGACGGATATCTAACGAGCAAATCCACACCATCCTAGTAAGATCACCAAGAACAGGCATCAACATTTGTAATATACGCACAATGAGCGGTCACTTGTGGAATTTGCTCTTACTACGGGATCTAAAGAACATGAGCGCGTTAACATATCACGTTTTCTGCGTCACGTTTATTATTTTATGCGCGACAAGAGGTACAAACGCGGCAAGATATCAACTCCAATTAAAGGGAAAAGCCGTGAGAGGTTGTCTTCTTGAGACGATGATGGTCAGAAGCATAACGGAGTGTTCCGTAGTTTGCGCCCGCACCCAGGGCTGCACCGGTTATAACATAGAGATCACCACAGCAAGCCGCAAACAGTGTGAGTTGAGCGCCTACTCAGACACTGACGTCGGCGGTGCAATTGTCACCGATAACAACTACAACTTCTATACGAAAGGTTAGTAATCATATTTCTGCAATTATCTTAAGGTGTGTGAGTAAACGGTCTCAGGAATTAAAAGGTCACCGTAGCTCGAATTAAATTGTTTGGTTTCATCTCTATAAATTATAAACTATTAAACTGCGTTTGTAATTTTTTTTTTATTTTATATTTATTTGCCATTTTTGCTGCGTTGATTCTAAATAACGGTAGCGGTTACCTCCGGACAATTACACCCAACCAATTACACCCGGATAATTAGACCCGGACAATTAGATCCAACCAATTACACCCAAATAATTACACCCCAAAAAATTCCCCCCGGGACAATTACCGCCATCCTGGGACAATCACTTCCGTACACTTACTCCCTGAGCAATCACTAACATCGGTAACCATGTTTCAGTAAACAGCGGAGAATGCCCTGCAGACTTCGTGGAATTCCGTGGAAATTGTTACTACATTGAGACACTCAACACGAAGACTTGGCAAAAGGCACGTGACCACTGCATCAGCATGGGAGCCGACCTCGTCAGTCTGGAATCACCGGGAGAAACCGATTTCGTGGCGCCTCAACTGCCACCAAGTTGGTGGACCGGTGGCAACGACGTTGCAGTGGACACGCAGTGGGTGTGGGTTGCTACAGGAAGACAGGTAGGCATGTGTGCACCTATTCCGTGGGGTCCTAGAGAACCAAGTGGAGGTGGAGAAAACTACATGTTCGCAAAGACCAGTTATTTGAGAGGTGATGATGGGGGATCATATTCAACAAATTACGTCTGTGAGAAATCGCCATGAATCAGATCCAGGCGTCTGTCAGGTCGTGTTATTTGTGGTTGTTATTTAATTGTTGTTGTTGTTGTTTATGTGAGGTTAGCATGTTGTAATTTCGTAAGTGCACCGTCATATTTAATTCGAGAGTAATTACCGTTCATTTATTTATTTTAACATTATAATTTTATTCGTGTGTTTATTTACTTGCAAGTTTTATTACTTGTTTTGTTTTATTTAATAGTTTCAATTAATTATTCATATTTTTATTTCATTTATTTTCAATTTACATATTTATTCGAGTAATTATTTTGTTAATATAAAAACACGAATATAGGACACGAAAAGACGTATATTTGCGTTGGTGGCTTTACCAATGGCTTTCATGATTACATGATATATTCCCCAAAACGATCCATCCTTTTCCCATAAATTGAATTAATTCTCAATAAACTTTTAATATATATAGAGAGATCGAGAGACAGATAATTGTTCAAGTTAACGATTTAGTGTCTGTGTAGGCCTACATAGTTACTCGCTCATTGGATGGCCTACTATAATTACTATCACGTGTTTTGGTTTACGTGTTGCATATTTGACATATAGCATAGCATTTTTGCATACTATTGCATTTTCAATTGCAAATACAAATTTACGCTTTCTTTTAATTTACACACTTAAACTTATTACACCAAATTAAACATAATTTTATCTTCTAAAGTGTTAAATTTACTCTTA